TATGACACGATATTAACACACATCGATTAGGGAGTATTTTAAAATTATTTAAAATTAACAAAGGTTATCTACTTCAATTTATATGTAGACACTACATATGTAGTAAGATTGAAATAAATACTACATCTGTTTCATATTTGGATGTTTTCTAGAAATAGACATTAATCGTACCCTAACCACCAAGCTTCATGCTTAACGTGATGACTTCATTTTTTTTTAAATTTCATTACATTTGTAGCAGAAGCCCACATGGCGCAGTGGTTAGAGCGTCTGCGGACAGGACCGGTAGGCAGGGGATGTGTACTCCTCCGTGGTACCTAATTCGACTTGTTATATATTTAAGAGGTCCGTGTTTGTTCTGTTCCTTATTTAAATTGATGCAATTAACCTGCCCGAGAAAGTGGAAGATTTAAATAACTACAAAAGAAGAAATTTCACAATGGGTTAGAGCGAGCATATATTATGCAAAGTGACGTCTTTGAGCATGAAAGAAAAAATTCGGGATGTTAAGAAAGAAATAGAAACTTTCCAAGACTTTTGCATCTATGCTTATTTGATTGTTTGGTACGTATATTTTATTGAAACGAAAATTATTGATTTAAAAATCCCCTCTTTTTAGATTACATGTATGAAGTCCATATTTAGACAGCTTTAGATGATTAAGATGATATATTTTTAATTCTTACATAAGGACGTTATCAGAGAAAAATTCTCCGAAGCAAAAAAATAATTTCAGGAAACTCTTCAACTGAAAACTGTATCCATAGTCTGAGATTTATTCACTAGTTTATTCAGAATGTTTTATAAAGAGATGAAATCTGATGTCAACTCAGTGAATCTGAGAAGTGAATTATATCTTTCAATAAGTTTCTTTTGGTCTCTAAATTTAATGTAAATATGGTCTAGTTGTAGATCGCCTTTCAATTTCTTTCGAACCAAATACTCCAAGTGATGATCGTGAGCCTTTGATTGGTATTACTCCCCTGGAAGAATATAGCACGAAATGATTAACATTTAAATGATCAATCAAAGAACTCCTGTCGATCGTTTCGCTGGTTAGCTCGTTAATGATTTGAATTAGACCAAAGACTTCAATCGTGGATTTAAAACTTGAAGTTTTTAATTGATCTATATCAAAATCACCCATAATTACTTGTTCAGTGCCGGTGATTGATTAATCTTCAATCCGCTGCTCGAAATCGTCCAACCATTGCATGTTTGAATCAGGCGGTCTGTATACAACTCCTACACTGATTTTTGGAGAAATAAGAATTTAATATCTGTTGTCATAAACTCTAAGGTTTTCATCCTTATATATGTTCACTACAATCCATTTTATCCTTTATAAAGATACGCACCCCCACGTTGATTTCGATCCCTTCTTATAACTTTGTATCCATGTATTTGAATCTCAGAATCGGTAATATTACAATCAAGTTTGCTCACTATAACAGCCAAAACATCAAATATTCTATCCTTAATAAAATCTTAACTTGATCAAGTTTGTTAAGAATGCCGCATAAGTTTACGTGCGCAAATTTGACACCCTTAGGTAATTTCGTTAAAATTTCAATACCATTCTGATCTAAAATCGAATCTCCGCACCAGATATCAATACAAGAATCACAAATCCATTCAATCGTACCAGATCCAATTTCTGTATATAAAATTTGTTGTTGATCTCACTCACATACGTATATATTTTCCATTTGGACAGGGATATAACTGTATATCATTTGACAACAACAATAAGCATAGTAAAGCAAACTGGCTTTCTCTAACCATATAAAAATATGTCTTGTCTTATCGCATTAACGTTATTATATTTCAAATATGAATATTTAAAAAATAAAGATGTAGTGTAAATATAGAATATAATTTACATGAAAAGCCCTGTTTTATCGATTTTTATTTATTTTCAGGCATTTGATGATTCAGCAAAGTGCAGTTCATCTCCAAAACAATGTTTCTTGCAGAGGACATGTATAATTGCTATACAATTCTTTTATCTCATTTTCTACGAAAGAAGGTTTTTTTAGTGCGCCGAGAAACATTTAAGCATGCGGTATTTATTCAAATTTATTAATAATCATATATATGTCATCACTATAATAATATAATGATATAAATATGTTGTTTAAAAGTAGATAGAGATGTGTTTTTCCCTTTAAATGTTAATACAATGTTATTATATTTAAGCCTAGGAGATCCATATTCATAATAATTCAGATATGCAATTCAAAAAGGAAGTGATGGTTGTTCTGAAGCTCATTTTGTTCAATGACATTTTTAATCATTGTTAATAATTCTAATTCTTTAAAAACACATTTACGCATACCGTTTATTTATCAAAAATAGTCAGTTTAATACTTCCATTTTTGAACTGAAACTCATAATATTAAAACATTCAAGAAAATTTCAGATTTGCAAAGTTTGAAGATATTGTATTTACAAAATTGATCAATGAAATAAAAATGACGAATACCTTTTTATTTATCTATTGGTTTTCCTATTAGCTATTATTCATACAACTGTTTAGCTTCTCCATATAGTGTAATCATGCTCGTTTTGTCCATATACACAATAACGAACACGTATGACGTCTTTTAATGTTTTTTGATGTAACTTCTCGATAAAGCTCTTAACAGTATTTACATGTTACGAAATTGCGACATTAACAAGTTATATCTGTTCAAAGATATCATTTACTTTCAATACAATTATAAAACAAATCAAAACAAAACAAATTGTAAAATCAGGAATCTATTAAAGATATATACACTAGACAAAATTGCTAAAGCACCACTTGTTAATTCTTATTAATTTAATTGAACATTTACCGATCGGTACTTGTGTATATAATATGTCATTATTTCCATAACAGTGGGATTGTCATATGTCTTAACTGGTATCATGAAGTACCTTTGACTGACTTTCTTGTCCGAAAACCATTTTCCATTTTCGCCCAGATATGAAATTCTTTATCACTAAATGTGGAGTAGTCCTCCAGTTAAAAGTCAAATTACAAACAACCATTGACTTTCATATCGCCTAGTAATCATCCCGTGCCTTAGTGTCCATACCAAATCCACTCAACTTCCGGTTTACCTAGTTTAATTAGTAGAGCAATATTCAACTTATTGTATGCTGCTAATTTAATGTCGTGTATAGATCTATCGTAAACATTTTTATGTTTGTTAATCTATTTGCAACAATTTTTCATGAGTGGAATTCATATGCTTTTTATTGTTTTCATTTATTCAGATTTCACCAATCGATCCCCCTGCAGACGCCATACTATCTGCTTTAGCAAGTTCCTCACGCCGCGAACGGTGTAATTAGTACAAATGTAAAAAACAAAAATACGAGAAAAAAAATGAATTTTTTTTTAATGGAATAGAAGCGATTTTTATTTTTTTTTTATATGAATTGGTCACACTTCAGTAAACATTGCAGTTATTTATAAGGTTTGACATTAATATGCCTTATTTCTTATTAAAGGCGCACAGATGATAACGTCAAAGTGTCCAGAGAAACATCACGTTTCATCGTCGATAAAAATAAAGTTGAATAAGTCCCACTTAAATTTAGAAATCCCATTGCTTCGCATACTTGAGTCTCCATAAACAATTGATAAACCAATCTGGCACACATGTGCGATCTTCTGAAGATTTATTAGTAATATTCTCACCATCATTCAACTAATACACAATCATATATCGACGTTCGGCGGTTACAGCGTCTTTTGTTGTTACAATAGCAGTTTGTCCGTATGTTTTGTATTAGCCGGGGACACGACTTAAAAAAAAAAACTTCGCTAAGAAAACTCCCATTTAAAGATCTGGTAATATTTCCATATTTTGTCCTTCTGTATTCATATAAAGTCTCTAAAAAGTGTCTTTACAAACTTTAAATCAAACTGAACTGCTATCCGGTGCGCCGTAACGTTATCAAACGTCGCCATATGCATTTTCGTGTGTTTTGTTTACCACTTTACCACTTCGAATGCACTGGACACTGCCAAAAATATACCAAATGCTAAAATTTCTGTCGCTCTAAAGCTTTATTATTTCATATAGTAATTAGTCATGGCCGACATGCATAAATGTGCTGTCCAGAACAAAAGTTTAAATGATACCAATACTTTTCTAAAAGGTCAATATCAAGAGAGGCTTTTAAATAGCGTTTTGTCATTTTGATGAATTTTGTCTTTAAAATCCGATTGCAGTGATATTAATTCTAGTATATGAAGTCATCAGAACTGTTTCAGTATAAATATTTGCTTGCGGCTGCTCGAAATTGCAGTTGCAAACTGATACCATAACATCCATATGGCGACTCTGTATTCTATGAACATCAAAATAGCAGTTTTATTACATGTATTTGTATGTTCTCAGCTGAAATTCACCTACGAAAAAGGTAAGACTGCTCCTTTGTATACTTTATTAAATGTTTTTTAATCCTTTTTTTTATTTTTTACGTATCAATGAGGCTTTTCATTTGGTTACTCTAATTTACCGAAACAGATTGATGTCAATAATTGTTATTACATTTACTTAATAAATACAAATATCCGACATGCATTGCGTAAATATAAACTGGTTCAAAAATAGAAGATTATTTTCTTTACATTGACCAAAAGAAATAGAATTTAAATTTCGTCATTCTTATTGAAAGAAGTGTATAAGTGTCTTTCAATTTGATTTATTAAAGCCATTTCCCCCATTGTCTTTCTGAACTAAATCATCATCAACCGCTCCAGAATCACTCATTTGCCCAAAATTATAAAAATTATCACTGAAATTATTTGTGTCTGAAAAAAATGTCAGCCAATAGTAAGTTCTATTTTCCATACAATGACCTTAAGCTTGTTCGCAAATACAATTTATCATTGAATCAAATGCTGACTGACGTTTCTCATGCGTTAGTCCATTATTTATATACTGAATTGGCGACGGATTTTCCCGTTATTTCCTGATAATGACAAGGAGCATACGTGAAGAATGTTCTTGTGTATCTAATTATTTGATAATTATGTACCCCGTATATAGGGGATGAAGGAATAACCATTACACATCTAGCCTTTCTTTCCATCAAGACCTAACAACTCTTAATTTATATGTGTTTGCTACGGAGCAAAGAGCATAATGATGCCATCTATTAATCTTTATAACCGATCACATGTAGTGGTTCCACGACAAGTAATTAAAATATTCATAGCTCACAGGAAATCGACACTTTGAAACAGCTGTCTATTTGCCGTCGGTCAGCGTTTCACATTCGAAACAACAATTTTAATAAAAACCATTAAGCCAATACTAAAAAATCATTACACTAACACATGATTTTGCTCACTCATTTGTTGACCTTATTTCAAGAGATGTTCTAGTTTTAACTCTAAACATATAACTCTTGAAATCTTGATTTAATTTTTTTAATCTTGAGCTGTTAATGAAAAACCCCAAGTATTGTTTGAACTTTGAACGAGACCTTCAATTAGAAACAGAAATGCTTTGTTTTTTAGATGTTTTCCATACATTGCAAAATGGCGAATCAACTGACGATGAAATCATTACATCATTTAAACGCCACCATATGTTAAAGAAAAGACAGATTAGTAACTCTAGCAGTGGTATATTCCGTACCGCTGACAATCAAGACTTTAACAAAACAAAATCTAACGAAACTCCACAATACACTGGAAATGTAGTAAGTAAATTAAACAAATATTGATATATATTTTAGATATATAGAATAGATAAAAAGTCATCTTCACAGTTTTATAGGTTTACCTATATTCAATTCAATATTGTTTACACGCCGCTTTACATTGAAAATAACGGTCGCATGACCTTAATGTCGTTGACATTTACATATAAAAACAAATATCTTATCCAGATTTACATAATCATGTACAACATGCAGCTCTTTTAATGCTTAACTTTGCAGCTGAGTTGCCAAATACTTGCAATATGTATATTTCACTTAGATCTTTTTTGTGAAACAATTACTTGAAAAGAAACACATGATTTTGACTCATTATATTACTTTGATACTGATACACAGAATTGGTAATTGTTATAAATTATTACAGGTAATCGAGAATCATGGATATTACACTTCAAAAGTAATAACAAAACCCCCTGATTTCAACGAATACTGGGTTGACCTGAACAATGCAAAAGGACACGAAGATCTTGTAAAGGAGTATAGAAAGGCTATTGTAAGCATCATCTGCGTACAGAGTTTATATATCTCAGTTAATTCGATACGCAAGAGCATGCTCTACGTATGAACAATTTCTAAAAAGAGGTAAATTATTGACAAAAATATTAGCAGTCTCATATCAAGTCATCATTTTGTAAGTTTTGCTGTATGGTCGATACAATGACCTTGTCAGCAAATACAATTTATTATTGAGTGAAATTCTGAATGACTTTTTCATGCTAATTACTAGTCCATTATTAATATACTGAATTGACGACGGATTTTCCCGTTATTTCCCATATGACAAGGATCACACGGCGGGTGGTGACCGGTCGGCAGGGGATGCTCACTCCTCCATGGCACCTGATTCCTCCTCTGATGTTTCGGAGGTCCGTGTATGCTCTACTCCTTTTGTATTGTTTTATGGACTTTGATCTTAAATACTGTTGTTATCTCATATGATTCACCATACGTTTCCCCTGGGACCTTAGTCAGTTCGCGTAAGACAAAATAATCCGGAGCTCAACAAAGTGATGTTATGTTATTTTTCGTGATTTTGTTCAGTTAAATGCAAATCAATATAAGTGTTTACTTGAATAAATGACTGAAAACAAGACTTTAATACTGTCCCCCTCAGCGAAAATCTATCATTGCAAACATTTTTGTGAATATAGCATAATAAAACAGTTTTATGTACAGAGCTTATACATGTTGAACACGATATGTGACATCTTATTTTATTTATTTATTTTTTTTTTTTTTGCAGCGGGTTAACCTGAACTTTGAATTCAGATTTTATGGCAATAATGTTACCAAGATATATATTGCCAACTCAGGTATTTGACTTTTTCGCTGAATAAATGATTAAATGCATATAATCTGAAGCAGTATATTTTACCAATAATTTGCATTTTATTGAAGCAAAAACCAATGTCCGATATCATAACCCTCTATCCTATATATTCTTATATATATAAACCAATTCTTTGTGCATGCTTGCATTTTTTCAGGATTCTTAAGTATGGCCCAATTTCCACATCAATATCTCACAGCCACACAGTATATTGCGCCACTGATGGCAAACTTCGATCCAACTATCAGTGAAGGTTCAAATATTTTCTATAAAGATTTTGGTAAGTCAACATATCATTTGAATAATTTAGTCCCATGCACATCAAATCAATTTCATCTGCAGAGGTTTTAATTAAGAAATTAGCATCAAGTATAAATTCCTCACAAGGATATGAAGTGGATCGGTCACCTGATCAAATCCTGCGAAGGCCAGAGGCCGTCTCTGCAGAAGTCATCACGCACCTACTCACTTAAATTCTCAACGAAGATTTATTTTAAAACTTGTTATTTATTATTTAAATAAACATTTGGGATGACAATTAAATAAAATTGAACATAAATTTCGAACTTACTGTACGTCGTTGATGTTAAGAAAAAAATAAACAAGGTGTACAGCTGTACATCGTCTTGACAAACAGGGACGCTTCGAATTCATTAGACAGAGGATATTTAAATATTTTGTGAAAGGCTACATGTCATTTATAGAAGTGAGCAGATTGTTGTCAGGGAATTTTTGTATTTGTTAGAATCAACTTTCGATGCTGAAAAGGCAAAAATAAAACGCCCCAAGTTCAATAATACAGTTGGAGAAATCTCGGTCGGAAAGGGATGGATAAAGCACTTGTTAGAGTTTTTGTAATCTTCAATCAGGACGAGTAACTTAAATTTATGATTAAATTCAAAATGTACCAAAATAAATCTTGAAACTTAATATAATAAATCTTGCTTGCATTTATTCAACAATTTTAATTTTATACTTCTTAATGAGCTTCAAGGTTCTTTTAAATTCTCTGAAAGGTCTAATAAAAAGTTAAAATTCTATCTCATAAAATAAGTTTTTGAAACTTAGTACTTGTTTTAAATTAAAGAACTATATGCGGTATATTGCATATATTTGCCCCCACAAAAGTCAAATTTTGAAAACTTCCTGAAATGTGCTGAATTCAATACATTGTAGGAGAAATAAAAATTAACAGAAAATATTTATAGTGTCAAAGCAGTGTATTTACAATTTTTGTTTTTATGACGCCACAAACTAGTCCGATTTTATATCTTGTTTCAGAAAGAGGACAAAATGGACAAATTTCAACAATTTTAGCTTTGAAATTTATAGAGCGCAAGTTTGTTCAGGAACAATATTGACATATTGCATTGATATTATCATTCTACACGTTATATCAAAATATTGATCCTGAACACACATGCGCTCGGTGACTTTTACTCAAAATATCAACGAAATATGTCCATTTTTCTGTAAAATTCATTAAAAAATGAAATTTACGTCATGTTTGTGACTTCATTACGTACATATGGCGTCATTGCTCATGAAAATATTCAGTGCTTTGAAGTCAGCATATACTCCCCTGTTTAAGAACTTAATTAAATATATATCCATCGAAGTTTGATTGGGGGGGGGGGGGGGCAAATATTGGTTATTACCGAATAAAGTTCTTTAATCATAATTAGCCATTGTTATGAACATTAAATAAATAAAAAGCGATTTGTGGTGTTATGCAATGATAGGAAAGTCTTTATATTTTGCATTGTAAAATGATCAAGTAAATAAAAGAAACTAAAGAACTTTATATTGCAATTTCTTCAAAAGGCTGGATATATACGAGGGTTGATTATTTAAAAATTGTTATAAAACAGTCATATACCCTCCAATTTAATTCAAAATTTCACCAAGTGACGTTTCATAAATACTGTAGCGACGGGAAAAATATTATTAATCTTTTTGAGCTTCAGCTGTGCAATTTTTAACATCAATAAAATGGCATGTGAATGTGCTAAAACGAAGCATGCTCCGTGAAGCTTGTTTTATCAAAATAAAATAGATGTATGTTTTTAAGGATTACCGGAAAACATCAAATTTTTGTATATTAATTGGAAAATATGATATTTTTTATCTTGGGAGTTTCACTGGTTTCATTAAAATAGCGCGCTAACAATAGGACTTTTCTAACAGCCCTCGTACATATGATGTTTAATTCTAAAATGTTTTTGCTGATTAAAATCTGAATAGAAAAATGCATAAAACAGTGTAGGTGTTTTATTTGCATTTCCTAAATTGCTATTCCTATTTCCTACAAAAATATTTGAGATGTACTTAATTTTCCAATGTAATATGATTTTACTAACTATGAACTTTCAAGATGAAATTTGAAGAAGTATCGTGGTTAAAACACTTCACGTAAAGACTTCATTGACATAATTGTGAGCAATTAGTTAATGACGGATTTTCAGAACCTTAGGATCGGAGTACCTTAATTTACTTGCATATTTCTTAAATTTTATAAATGAAATTATGCTAAAATTGGTCAGCAGAGCAAGTCATTCTATGAAGATATTATAGCGCCGTATAATGACATACAATGTATGATCTGTAAAAAACGTCATACAGGTTTGATGATTTTCTCTCTCTGCATATTTATATAATAAAAAGATATCACAAATATGTATTCTTCATTATTTCTTTATATGTCTTTATTTCTACAGGTGATAGGTTTGTAGTGGAATGGAAAAATCTTTATCTCCAAGACAAGAATGACAGTAAGGCCATACAAATTCGTTTTCAATTCTTAGATATCGCTATTACTTGGTTCTTAAAATGACGATCTTATATTATATATATGCATATTTGACGTAAAGCCCATTTAATTAAAATTGGATACAAAATATTGAGAAAAGAAAAAAAAACTTATTTCTTAGTATTCTACACATATATGGAAACCCAAGTTCTGATGTATGATATAAATTTTATCCAATGGAGTATATCTCCATGAGTAAAATAAGTCCGAAATATTTAACGTTTTCTTGACTTTCTAAAGGCTTTTTATACTTGACGTGTCAGAGCAACGTCAGAATTGGCAGTTTAGTGAAAAGTGAGAATTTGTCTCCTCCAACCGGAAGTAGTATTCTCAGGTCGATTTTTAGTACATGCAAACCAAATTAAATGTTTTAATTACAACTGAGCAAAAGTATATAATATATTGATTCTTGTATTTTTGCTTTTATTGTTCTTTTCTGATTAAAAAAAAAGCTGTTTTATAAAACCTACTATTTTTGATTTGTGCATATTTAAATTCATAAGACCTTTATTGAGATGCGAAGTGATATTTTTCTTTCACGCGAAATTAATGAGAACAAGAAGCATTTCGTTATTGATAAGTTGTAAGTTACATTTGAAAGTACATTGTATCAAACATTTAGTTCACTTTGGAGATGCGAAATGTTAAGTAAAAGGATAATACTTTTTTATACTAAAACTCCCATTTAATATAATTTTATGATTTTTTTTCAGCAACGCCTTTCCACTTTCAAACAACACTTCACGCCAATGGCACAATATATTTTGCGTACAAACAGGTAAAATATATCATGTAGCTAATACTGTTAAATAGTTGTAGAGCTTGCCCTATTGACCGAATGGGCACATATTATTTGTTGATATCAAAGTCTGGTAAGCAAGTATTTTAAAGATGCATAATTAAAAATTCTTTTTTTACATTTCTTTTTTCCCCGAATATTCCAAAGTTATATTTCTTGAATTGACGATATAATAATCTGTTTTCGGTGTTTGATTCTGATGTCTGAGTAGATAGAAGAAAAAAATGGTTCTCGGGAATAAATCATACTCTATCTGTATGTTATTTATTACAAATTAATCATATTTCTTTATTTCTAGTGTTATGTTACTTTCAGGAATTTTTATGTCATGCGCAGGCCAATTGTGAAGTATTCAAATGAAAGGGTTAGACACTTCAAGTGAAAAATGTATCTTGTTCGTGTATAAGAAGTAAAATATATCTGTACAATGTATTGTAGATACCAGTAGAAGTGTCTGAAATTGACACAAACAATCATCCCGTTAAAGTGGGCGTGTCTGATGCATATTACATGGATTTCACTAGACAAGGTACAGTATTAGTTTTAACGATATCGTAAACGACGGGTGAACCAATAAATAAATGAATAAATAAATAATAATAGGAAACTTTGCGTCTATGGTTTAAATTTCTTTTTTTGTTTTTTTCGATTTGACATTTTTGTAAAATTATGAATTTTTAGCAATTAGCAAGAACAATAAATAGTAAGTACTAATAAGTAATTGGTTCAGAAAATATGTGGTCAACCTTTGTGTAACCTATTGACATTTGAAACTTACGGACAGGCACTGATAGCTTAAAGGCAAATAACAAACATGAAACACTCATCTTTTTAATTTTAAAAGGGCGTATTTTCTCTCCTATTCGAACATTTTCTCATCAATATGAACAATCCTATCTATATGTACGGCAGGTCTAGAGGAACATTGGCTATTTTCTTATTTTTTTTTTTGACTTAGTTCTTTTGAATTTCTTTTATGTTATTTTATGTTTGATAAAAAACACTATTCTTATCCTGAAAATGTTGTGTGTAAGATGCAGGCTACGTGTGAACTAAAAAAAATATTTTGCTTAAACTTGGATATAAATATTTTTTGGTATCAAATATCAGCCAGGTCAAAATAGGTTAGTCACAATAAATAGGCTATAACAGATAGTCATACAAAAGGAAGAGATAACAGGGGTTCATATTCCAGAGCTGCAGTTCTGAAAAAATTTATTTCTTTTTATTTCTTTTTTTTATTTACTAATCTAAAAAAAATGTTTTATTATTTCATCAGCATTTTTTTTAAATACCAGTCATAGAAATAAAAAAAATCCAAACTATTAAAACATCAAAAATATTTTACATTAAAGATAAGGGGATAACTAACACATCTCTTAGTTTTTTCCACAAAATGTTGTATAGAGCCAATTAAAGTAATTTTGCAGGTGTAAAACGACGGACCATATACGAATACAACCGCTTGGAGATCGACTTTAAGCTGGTTCGGTCAGGGACAGTCGTCATTTTGATCCCGTTGAAAAGTAAGTTGTTCTGGTTTAATTGGAAAAATCAAAATGAATACTAAATGTATTTTACGTCATTTTTAAAGGAAATAAATTATATTTCAATCAACACTTAACTCTTAATTACATAAATATTGATCATACTGACACCATTATCATAATTAAAGTCAATATAGCTTTGAAGCCAAATGCTTTCTACACGTAAAACCTTAATGTCAGCGTTAAAATTTCTGAATTTTTTTTGCAAATCTCTTTGCTATACTGCACCCATATTCATAAAATTCCACTTTAGTTTTTCAATAAATTGTTTCTTATTCAAACAAAATCGCTTCGAAATTTTCATGTCTTCATACCTTCCTACAGCCTGTAATATTGCCAAGGATTGTACAACTTGTTTAACTCAGGACGATTCGTTCGATTGTAAATGGTGTCCAATGGTTGGTAGATGTTCCGATGGCCTTGATTGGCTGAGACAAGAATGGCTTGATCAAGATTGTGACAGAAAGGTGAAGAGTCTTGAGAATGCACTCAGAATTTGTCACAATTATCTTAAGAAATTCGGTTTCTTAAGGATATAAGATCTTCAGCCAGGAAGGATAACTCAAAAAATTTAGATTTTATTTGAAATGCATCAAAATGAAGCTTGAAAATGAATTTTTTCATGCAACAATTTTCTGTTTATTTATCTTTATAAGATTCAAGGTTTTTAAAAGACTTAGAAAAGCTCTTATAAAAGTTGACATTTGTACCCTATAAAAGGGAAAAAATAATACTGATTAGAGAAATAAGATTTTCTTGAATGCACCCTTAGATACCAATGCTTGTTAGCATGATATCAAATAAGAAGTGATTTGTGATGTTTGCAACGATAGCAAAAGCCTTTTACACTATGCATTATAGAAGACAGGACGGAACTAGAAGACAAAATACCAAATAAGTATAAAAATCATGGCAATTTCTCTGAATGCCTGAATACCTATCGTTTTTAAACCTAAAATATATTTGTTGTTTCAAATCGCAATTAGAAAATGCATTGTTGATATTCCAATTCGCTTGGTCTGCCGAAAAATAGAGATTTGGCAATTTTCCCTATATACTACGATTAACTTTAATTTTTAACTTTAAAGAAATACAGTGGATAAATTTACATAATTTAGTAGTTTTCATTACTAAATTCATAATTTTATAATCCTGAGGATCTGACTACCTTAAACAGACATGTCAAAATTTCATAAACAAAAAAAAATTAGGTCAATTTTTTTCTTTAAAATTTATTTATTTAGTCATAAGAATAATTTTATGTTTATGTTATCAAAATAATCTGTGCGTAGTTGAAGCTGTATATGCATTTGTATTTGTTTAAACGGAAACTCTTTTCCCCCAATTTTTTAGTCAGAGGGTGTCTTACTTTTCGTTACAATGCCTTAAGGTATAGTTGCTTTTTAAAAACTAAAAAAAAATTAATCCCGATACAATTGATATAAATTAAGTCACATTTAATTTAAACAGCTTTTTAATACTCACTCACTCGCAAACAAACACACGCGATTACATTTAAGTTACTATAACCTTCTCCAATTCCGTTACTTGTACAAGGGAATAAAGGTGTCAAGTGGCTGAACTCATGCATTGTTTTGATACTGTGAATTGTTTATTCCTGATGATACCACAAAATGCATTTTCATTGAACTCATCCCCCTTTCTTGTGAGATACAAGTTTGCAGGTTTAGTCATTAATGATCAAGTAAATTTATCTAGGAATAAAAACCAGGTTTATATTTTTTCCGTTTCAACATACAGTATAAGTCTCAAATGTTTTCACTTAAACTTTATTTCCTCTAAAATTTGTATCATATTTTTATTAATATTTTATGATGATTTTACATGTGTGATGTCTAATTTTCAATATTGTTTTTTCAAATTGTTTTCTAAGGCATTTGATGACTCAGGAAAATGCAATATTTCTGCAAAAGAACCGGAAAACAACACCCTTTCATCATAAAAACAAAGTATGATACAGACACCACCATGTTCCTTGGATGATGGTCACGATGGTTTTCTAAATCATTTCAGTATAAATAACTATTTTCAAAGTAAAAATATGGCATTCTACTGGTTTGATTTATTATTCGAACAGCAATATTTGCACTAGAAATATTTGCTGTAATCAACACGAAGGAAACTTTTTAGTGTACATACTGTGCAATCCCGAATTAGAACATGGAGAATGTTTTCCCCCCAAAATATCTTTCTTCGAGTTGACTTTTCGCTAAAGCACATTGCTACTAAACAAATTGCAGGATTTCTCTTTATATATATACTTTTTGTTATTCGCTAAAATATTATACAATTATTGCTGTTTTTTTTTAGGTCAATACAGTGATTTAGCGATACGAGGAGTACAATATTCACTGATACCAAAAGACGAGGTTAATATTGTACTTCGATTGATTGATTGTATACTGTTTAACGCCCCTCTCCAGAATATTTTACTGATATGGAGACGTCACCATTGCCGGTGAAGGACTGAAAATTTAGGCCTATGCTCGGCACTTACGGCCTTTGAGCAGGTAGGGATCTTTATCGTGCCACACCTGCTGTGACACGGGGCATCGGTTTATTCGGTCTCATCCGAAGGACCGCCCCAGTAAGTCGCTTTTTACGACAAGCAACGGGTTACTGAGGACCTATTCTAACCCGGATCCCACGGGGCTATTGTATTTCGAAGATGGCTGGATTAATCATTGTATTGACCAAAAAACAGCAATAATTGTTTTATTATATGATTCACTGATAAAATTATACAGCTCATTACTTGTTTGCATTTAATTAAGTCCTAGCCAAATACAAGAGAGAAGTCGAATTAAAATGTAAATAAATCTTACCAGTCGTATCAACTTGAAATGTTCTTTTTATCAATTTTAGTTGCCTAAAAATATGTATAATGTCTTTTTTATTGGATAGATTTTGAAAGGAATGAGCATCAGGGAAAACTGACTGCCAAAAAGTAAATATTGTTGCTCAGTAAAAGGTTTGGAGGGGGGTCCCTGCATCCCCTCTTACCATCCTCACCCGAAAATATATATTCGCTGATGTTTTGTTTACATTTGTTTAGAATATTGGTTTGTCCCTTCTTGTTCATTTACCGAATACTGTAAAATAACCTATTTTTGATGGGTCATACTTTCCTGGTTGGAGACAATGAACTTTTACTTTCTTACCGATATGATATGCAAATGGACTAATGAAGCGAACGGTATTCAATATCAAAGTCCATAAAACTACATAAAAAAGGAGCAGAGCAAACAAGGAAATCCAAAACTTCAGAGGCGGGATCAAGTGCCATTAGGGAGTGAACATCCCATGTCATCCAGTCAAACCCACCGTGTGCTCCTTGTCTTAATTGGGAAATAACAGTAAAATCCGTCGTCAATTCAGTGTATAAATAATTGACAATTAGTATGAAAAACGTCAATCAGCATTTGACTCAATGATAAATTACATTGTATTTGCTGACAAGGTCATTGTATCGACAATAGAACTTACGAAATGACTACTTTAAACGAGACATCTGTTATTCTTGTTTCATCAACTTGTTTGACAATAATTAACTTCGTTTTAGAAATTTTTCGTACGTAGAACATGCTCTTGTGTATGGAATCCACTGAAATAGATAAATTGGAATCCACTGAAATAGATAAACTCCGTATGCGGGTCATGATGGTGTATTGCTGCATAATTAAATAAGGGAAGTTGACGATAAAAAAGTTAAAGTTATCCCGTTTATCATAGAGCTTGGTTGTTAGCTTACCATTGTCTTTTTCAAGTGAAATATCCAAGAATGAAACAGATGTATTAGACTCTGTGAAACTAGAATAGGAAACTAAATATATTGGTTCGTACCTCGAAAACCACGAAAATCAAACCCCACGCAAATTCATGATTTCACAGTATATGGTTTCTAGTTTGATTTTGTACCCAAACGCACGTTGTGCATATGTAATCACACACAAGGAAAGAGTCAGAATTGGCAATGTACGAAAATATTGAGTGTATATCTACATGTATATGCTAAAGTAGAAGCTTCAACGGTGTTAAGCTAACCCTTACAGCGGTATAGGGTACATGTAATTATCTTCTTTCCACATGCACATCGTACACTATACACATTAACTATAACATTACGTGTTAATATTGTTTTGAATTAAATTATTTACATTGTTTAATTAAGTTTTAAACACCCTAGTGACATTGATTTATTATACTGTTGGAAATTGTTGAAAAAAAAATTATCTGTTAAATTTAGAATTAACTGATACTTACATGCATGTAAATTTGATAATGGCAAAATATGATAACATAAATTTAATAGTTAATTGTTTTCTTTGCAGTATTTGAATCTAATCAATGATAATGCACTATACTACAAACTAAAATCATGCAAAAAATGTTAACAAAATGTTTTATAGTTCAAGTATATACATGTATCAGTTTATAAGGGTTTTGAAAAGCATATAAACTGCATGTAATAGATATATCATAAAAATGTGTTCAGAGTATATGGTTTTCAAAAGTGGATCCAAATGATGATGTACCATACGGCCCCGAGTTAATTGGCAAATTTAACAATCTAAATTTTATTCAATTTTCTTTTTGCAAGAACGTAATCACTACTTTGTGTATCTATGAGAAATACTATTTTTACCAAAAATAGAAACAAACTTTGGATGAAATTTAGTATTGGTACCATATTTACATCCCTTTGTCCATTTAGTTAAATTTGGCACCATCCCACATTTTGAAGCCCTTAAAATATGTACATTTTTCTCCTTGGGATGGGCATTGAATTTCATTTAAATCTACCTTTACATAAAAGGTGGAATTTATGCCCACTGCGCCCAGTTGTTGTGTATAAAATATTGTAAACACAGATGGTCTTTCCCATTATTAACCGATCGACTAGACTATTTCGTCTAACTTAAGAATAAATTTATATGCAAAATTAATCACCGACAACCAATCAGCTAAAACGATTACCACAAAATACTATAGAAATATAGAATTTTTGACTTTCACTTCGGTTGACAATTTTTATCCATTTCAGACTTATATAAGGCACGGATCGACGATTTCACTGTTAATAATTTTAAGAAATAATAATTTATAAATTTACATTGTGTAGTTTTTCAAGGCGTTTTGTTGGCGATTGGCTACATTTTACATTTTTCCCGAATATCTGTGAATACAATTCTCATGTGCATATCTTGGTCCAAAACAATAATCTGGGTATTCATGCGTATCATAATGAATAAAAAAATAAAAAAAGACTTGCTTGCCATTAAAACTTTGAATTGTAATAACAATTTGTAAATTAAGCTTTACCAAGTATCTGTGATAAAACGTAAACGTAGTAAAGCAGTCTGTTTCGTTATTGGTTTAGTTATTAGATTGGACAGACGGAAGTTAGACAACTTGACGGATTGACAGATGAAGAGGAAACCTGAAATCCTCATCTGTTTCACCGTTAGAGGACTATAATAAATGAACAATTAAAACTAACATAGCATATAATTTATTGATTCGGTAAGTTTTTCGAGATTATATTTTGGTTTGTTAGTCTTAATTTCGACAACACTTATTACATGAAACATGTTTCATCTTTTTATAGTCTTATGCAATCAGTCTATAAAGCTTATTATAAAAAAGATCGAGGTCTTATTATTTGTAACGTTTGCTTCTGAGATTTACAAAAAAGGAATATATACTTAGTTTGTGTTTAAATTTTTCACATCCAATCTTTTTTATCCGGAATAAAAAAAAACAATCATGCAGTATTCAAAATCTATTCACACTCATGGTGGAAAAATCCTCTTTTAGCTCATTAATATTACTCTCTATTTTTTTTCCACTTCCATTTTCTCAGGTAAGTTTATTGCAGCAGTATTCTCTGATTGTAAAATGTCCACAGCCTCTGATTTCAGAGCATCGTCAATTGTATCATCTATTAAATCAATGTAAGGAGAAACGTTAATGTAATCATTAGGTTCTTTTTCGCTATGCACTACATCTAAATATGTCCCGTCTTTGTTGTCAGGATCTATATATAGACCAGCTTCGACTGTTGGAGTTAAAGTGTTTTCTCTGGGTCCGGGCAAATGTTCGTACCCCTCATCTTGTTCCTCTATTATTTCATAGTCGGGATCGGAATACGGACTCTCTGGATTGATAAATTTCATTTCGTATGGAGAGTCTTTTGATTTCGGAATACTTGGCAGGCGCATCAATTCTTTCCGTCTTTTTCTCAATGTTATTGCTCTATATGATTTTGAAATAAGAAATAGTCCAATGGTTTTGAAAAGATAGAATAATAAAAAAAAAATTGCAACAACAACGACGAAGACAGATGCCTGACAAAGTTTCTCGAATACGTGCAGCGTGCAGCACGGGATGAAATAAAAAGCTTTTAGTTTATAGTTAAATGTCCATGAAATTAAGAAAGAGAAAATGATCAAAAGATATTTTACAAGATGCATATCTGAATTTGTATTTAATTTTTCTGAATTATATTGTAATCCAATTTTGAACGGAACTTTAAGATCACAGACCTTATTTTGTATATGCCGATTGCAAAACTGATAGCAAATATCAGTGCAACTGCAAATCCAACCGCAACTACAACATACATGAATTGTAACAACATGATTACATATAAATAATGTTATGTACATTAAATGCTTTACATTGCTCTGAGAAAAATACAAAATTATTTCCTTCATTTGTTCAAATCTCATACATTTTTATTTTGTAAAATAATATATTTCCAGAACAAAAAATTATACAAACGACAAATACATGTATTAATAAAATCTTTGACACAATTATTACAATTAGAAAATTTCAATGCCAGAAATTAAACTCAGAAAATATTTAAATAACTAAAAGAAAAATGCTTTTGTGTGATTTCAGTTGTTTAATTTGAAAGAAAATAATTCCCTTTTTAAAATCGTACCATCAAAGCTTTATGTTAAAAATACAATAGAGACTTATCAGTGTCTACTTACGAAAAATTGCTGTTTGGGAAAAGTTGGTGTTTGATTCTTTACTTCCTGCAGACAATTTAGTATCTATATTAAAAAAAGGGTTTGTAGAGAACACAGACTGTCGTCATATGTTGCTGTTGTTTTGTAAAATCACACTTTATAAATTTACATAGACTATTAATTTAAATATATGAAATTTTCAAATTGAAACTATAAGAAAGACAGGATTATACCATTATTTTCTCCTAAAATTTATATTATAAAAAATTTTATTTTGTGCAGTAAACAACTTTTTATTTGCATTATATTTTATTTGCTTTATAAGTGGAATATTGTTTTATTCATCTGTGGTCTTAATTCTGAGATGTCATGGCAACCACACTATATATATATATATATATAAATCAAAATTAAATCCAAGATAAACAAACAAGTTTACGTTTAATTTTTTACACTAAGCGCTTTCGCCGTTACGGCTCTTCAGAGTGTAACAATGATAATAAAAACAATACAACTTCGTTGTTATGACGTCGTCATTATGACGTCACAAAGGCAGCGTTATACATTGGCACAGGTAAATGTCAAAAAAGCGCCAAATGTATAGAGTTAAACACATGTACATTGTAATAAAATGGAACATTTCTTTAGAGCTAAAATGTTCAATTTACATTTAATTTAGGCTGAAATAATTTAACAAAATAATCTTCCTTGGCCCTCCGTAATTGTTCATTATCTTCTGTGATTTTATAAAATGGAATATATATATATATATATATATATATATATATATATATATATATATATATATATATATATATATATACTGTACATTGTATAAATGTAGGATATATCAATGTTTACCTGTTATATTTTCCAGTGGTGCAGGGAATTCAGAATAAAAATATTTGACACCTGGAAATGTAAGAGAGATCCGTTTTGAATTTAAATATGAAGTAAACGATCGGAAAACGTAGATAAAAAGTCTACAGAAACAATAAACTGTTCGTGGAGCAAACATGGACGTCAAAGAACATGGTGTAGCAAACATCTCTGTCGACTAATTGATATTGTATGAAAAAAATAGGTCAATTTTTCTTCTTGAGCCAGATTGCAGTGATATGTATCAATCCTAGCCAAATCTAAATATGACTTTAAATGATATTGTAAATACCTTTATGCCATCAACCTGTTTATCAGAGTTCCATCTCATTTTAGAAAGATAATGTGACATCGAGTTGATCATGAATTTTAGTTCTTAGTTCTTCATCAATTATTCAAATATGAAGCAAATGTGCCAGATACCTCTTTGCTTTTCATTACAAGTTAATGGGATGTTTTTGGGAAAATATCATTGTCCTGAAGAATACTTACAAACACTAGCATTTTCTTGTAGCTGTGCAGAGAAAAGAGGTATAAACCTGTTAGCCATACTTAATTTATCCTTAACGAGACAAGTTGAGTTCGTTTTGTCACTGTCTTGTGCCTTTGATATAATACAATGCCCAATCCGCTGGTAAATTCTAGATATAAATGAGATGAGAAGACGTTATTAAGTATTGCCATATTCTGGTGTATTAATTTCACATTTTGGATAATTTTTATACTATTGTTAAAACATTCAATATATATATATATATATATATATATATATATATATATATATATATATATATATATATATATATATATATATATATATATATATATATATATATATATATATATATATATATATATATATATATATATATATATATATATATATATATATATATATATATATATATATATATATATATATATATATATATATATATATATATATATATATATATATATATATATATATATATATATATATATATATATATATATATATATATATATATATATATATATTATATATATATAGTATAAATCCACACACGTATTGTTATAATAAAAAAATCACAACACCGAAATAAACTCAACCGGTTTCATTTCCAATCTTCAGGAGTTTGACAATACAATGCTTAGTTACACAAAATCAACATTCATATTGTGACGTCATAAAGCGTCAATACTTAGTCGCGCTTTAGCAAAGTTCATTATGACGTCATGATAATACGTACATAAGTTATTACGGGAAATTAGATTTTTTTATACAAATAATACAGTTATATTATGCGGGTAAAAGTATATTTCTTACATGAAATATAATTATGTTGCATTTAAAACAGGTTTATGTCTGTTTATAAAATGTTTTTCTTTAGTTTCACGTTCTTTTTCTGTAGTATCCCTTCGGAATTTGTAGAATGGAAAGACAGTAAAATTAGGGGTTTTATTTTTGGCACAGTTTCTGATGTGTTCGCTTACGGCGGTACACTGGTATCTTGGTTCCCTAATTTGTTGTCGGTGTACGGTCATTCTGTGTCTCAGGGTGTCTCCTGTCTGGCCGATATAATTTTCACCACAACCGGCGCAGGTTATTACATAAATAAGATTAGAACTGGTGCATGACATTGATGTTTTAATAGTAAATACGCTTCCAGTTTTAAATTGAAATTTGGATCCCTCTGTCAGGTATGGGCAAGTACTGCATCTTGGCTTGTTGCATCTATTGATGTTTGCTGGTTCATTGTTGTTAGTAGAAAAGGACGCTTTTGTAAGAATGGATTTGAGAGACGGACTTTGTCGTTTACTCTTAATGATCTGTGAAGTTTCTAATATTTTTTTCATGTCTGGATCGTCCTCTAAAATTGGCAGATTGTTCCTAATAATGTTGAAAATTTCCGGATTTCTTGGGTTATGTGTAGACACGTATGGTATAACATTATTTACTTGTTTATTTTTCACTGTAAGTAGATCTTTTCTTTCTTGAGATTTGGCTTTGTTTATTCCGTTTTCAATCAATTGTATAGGGTAGTGTCTTTGAAGGAGTAGTTCTTGTAGTTCTGTAAGGCGAGATTCCAAGATTTCTGCATCGGAAATTATTGTGCAAAGACGTCTGGCTAAATTGTATGGGATATTATTTCTGGTGTGTCTAGGGTGACAAGAGTCAAATATTAGGTATTGTTTGGTATCTGTTATTTTGTAGAAAACATCCGTTATTAAACGGTTTTCTTTTTTAATAACCATTACATCGAGAAAGGATAACTTATTACTATCCGATTCCATGGTGAATTTCAAAGTGGGCCTCAGGTTGTTGAGAATATTAAAAAATTCCATTAGTTGATCTTCACTTTTGTCCCATATGACGAAACAGTCATCTAAGTAGCGTATCCACGACTTCCTTATAAAATTTTCAAAGTCCTGCCCGAATTTTTCTTTCACGGTTAAATACAGTTTTTCTTCTAAGAATCCTAGGACAAGTGTAGCATAAGTCGGCGCAACTTTGGTTCCCATTGCCGTGCCTAATTTTTGTCTGTAGACCATGTCATTAAAATGCATAAAATTATTTTCCAAGATTAATTGAAGGCTTTCTAAAACAAAGTTTTTTGGAAATCTGTCATTCAAAAGACTAGGAAATCTGTTTATCCAGTGTTCTATTGCGATGAGTCCAAGATCATGTGGAATGTTAGAATAGAGATTGGTGACATCAAATGAAACCAAAATGGATTCAGGGTTGACTTTCTCAGGAATTGTATTAAGAAAATCTACTGTGTCTCGTATATAACTTTGAACTTTGGTAACATACGGTTTCAATAATATATCCAATAGATAATGGATAAGTAATATATTATATATATTATATTATATATTATATATTATATTATATATATATATATATATATATAAATGAAGTTAATATATATATATATATATATATATATATATATATATATATATATATATATATATATATATATGACTGCCGTCATGAGAAAAGGGCCCTTATCTTTTGACGTCACAATGCTCAAAAAACGACGTCAAAGTTGCGGTATTGTAAACACGGAAGTAAAAAATATTGTCAACTGCGTTTCGTGATTTAGAAACAAAATTGGATTTCAAAGTGTAACAAAAATTTGAAAATTGATGCGAACATTTTTAATGGGTATATAGTGTGATATTATTACTATTTAATACGTGAATTCATTCATAATTCTGTTTAAGTATTTAACTTGATGTTGATATACGCGACATTGGACATGCACATTGCTATAAGGAACTGCGATTTAAACGATGTCTATTTCTGATTAAATTAAAGATGCGGCAAATTTGTTTTTTAGAATTTCCGAATGCTTAAATTTGATTTTATGTTAAGAAGTCTTCATATTAAAAGGTATATTCCATACACATGTCATTGTACTCTTTTTCAGAGAGAGAAAATATATATACCACAATTTAAAATATATTTAGTCATTTTAATTTTAATCCATAGTGTATCATACTGATGTACCCCGACAGCCAGCCTATTGTGAATTTTCGATTTTAAAATGTGTGTTAAAAAGGGGGGGGGATAAATAAACAAGCCAAAAAAAAAATCTTCGAATAATAAGACAACCGGTTAAATTTCAAGATGAAAAACATAATTTCTCTTTGACTGGATATATATTCTGGTAACATTGGAAATCCAATATTAAACCTTCTACATCAACAATAAATAATTCTATACTAAATCAACAGTAGGGGAATATGCTAAGGGGAAAAAAAAATACGGATGCCATAAATTTTGCTAAAAATAGATTTTGTTTCAAAAACTAATTTAAAATGATCCAATAAATACATGTTTCAATTTTCTTAAATTATTCCGATGAAATGAATGAATTAAATCGAAACTGAATTGCAATGTTTAGGAATTAAATACAGCTTCAATTTTTAAAAGACTTTTCCCAAAAAAACATCATTCCCAATTCTGAAGAAATTAACCATATTACATCGTCAGTGATATTATGAATGAGGATATTTATAAACCAGAAACAACCCACTATAAATTAATTGAAAAGATGTAGCTGAAGAAGTGAAGCTTTTCGGGAAAAAAAAACGGCAGACCGGAGAGCTACAGTGCTACCCATGGTAAATGCTATATTTATTGCGCACAAAAGTTGCGCTTATTTCTGGCTTAATTATTCCAAATTCTTACC